CTCCCCCCACACTGCCATGCATGCTACCTTCCCCCCCACGCATGCTACCTCCCCCAATGCCACGCATGCTCTCCGTGCACTGCCACACACATTTCCCCCGCACTGCCTTGCACGCTCCTCCCGCATGCTCCCCCTGCACTGCCACACACTGCCCCCTGCACCTCACTGCATTGCTGTGCACGCTCCCCTGCACTGCCACACACGCTGCCCACCTGCCACGCACGCTCCCCCCTCACTTCCACGCACGCACCCCCTGCACTGCCACACACAGCGCCCCACCGCACTGCCACGCATGCGCCTGACAACATTGCAACACACGCTCCCCCACACTGCTGCACACATCCCACATTCACACTCACTGACATTTGTACACGCAGAGACACTTGCACTGCACATGGCAGAGCACATTTGAACACGCCCACTCACACTTGTGGAGCCCTAGCAACACTCACACTGCACCGCACACTCACAAACACACATCACACCGCTGTGCACACTCGCACACATCACACGGCCGTTCACACTCGCACACCCTGGCTCACACCCGGCCCCGTTCACACTGCCTCGCCCCCGCGGTGGCAAGGCCTGGCGGCAGGATGCACCTGGTCAGCCTAGCAGGATGCAGCCGGCCCCATCTGCTTCCGGCCCCTTCCTGCCTGCAGCCTGCGGGGGGGTGGGGGTGAGGGAGGGCATATGGGGGGGTGCAGCAAGCGGCCTGTCGCAAACAGGATGCGCATGGCAGAGACCCCCTGCAGGTGGCAGCCCCCCCGCCCATGTATGGGGACTCCTGGCTAAGGCCATGAAAACACCCAGGCCAGGAAGTCTGGTGCCCAAAGGGTTAATGGGGAGCCCACCCCCACACTAATTAGCAATGCCCATCGTCATTCAGCCCAGCACAGGGAACCCTTCAGAGCAGCGGGCCAGGGAGGGGGCAGTTAGTTGTGGTCTGTGGCCAGATTGGATGTTGTGGATTGTGTAGAGTGGGTGTGTGTACAGGGTGTGGGGGTCTGTGTTTATTGGGTGTCTGTTTTGTAGGGGTGTGTGTGTGTGTGTAGGGGGGTATACACCCCTAACAAACTCACACCCCCTGGTCCCAAGGGGTTACCTGTGACCATCCCTGGGGGCAAGGCCCAGAGGCGTCAAGAGTCTGATGCCCCCTGCTGGGCTCGTCCTGTGTGGAGTGGGGCATGCATGGGGCAGGCCACTCTGCTGTGCCCCCCCCTTTCCATCATGCACAAGTCCCCAAATTCTTCAGTCCGGGCCTGGGTGACGCTGGTCTAGGCCACACTGAACTGGTGGAGGCTGGGCTGGGGGAGCTCTCCCAGGCCACGCTGAGCCGTGCCAAGCGGGTGAGGGCTGGGCCGGGCCGGGGGAGCTCTCCCAGGCCATGCTGAGCCGTGCCAAGCGAGTGAGGGCTGGGCCGGGCCGGGGGAGCTCTCCCAGGCCATGCTGAGCCGTGCCAAGCGGGTGAGGGCTGGGCTGGGCCGGGGAGCTCTCCCAGGCCATGCTGAGCTGTGCCAAGCGGGTGAGGGCTGGGCTCCCCAGCAGTCCCCTTTGCACCATACCGACTCTCTCCACTCCCCCTGGTTTTGTCCTGGCTCTGGGGCCCTGGGCCGAGCTGCCCCCTCCCTAAGGGATCCCAGCCCCCATGGGGAGTGGCTGTCAGCAGGACTGCCCACCCCTTGGTAAAAAGCCTGGAGACACCCCCCCACCCCCGAGGGAGAGATGCCCCAAACCTCACACCCACATCCCCCAGTAGAGAGCCCAGCTCTGGGAGGGGAGTGGAGTCTAGGGGTCAGAGCAGGGAGCCAGGACTCCTGGGTTCTATCCCCAGCTGTGGGAGGGCAGGGGGGGTCTAGTGGGTAGGGGGGGGTCCTGGGAGCCAGGACGCCTGGGTTCTATCCCCGGCTCTGGGAGGGCAGGGGGGTCTAGTGGGTAGGGGGGTCTGGGAGACGGGAATCCCGGGGCCAGGCCCGTCCGACGCTCAGCAGCAGCGCTGGCCTCGTTTACCCACTAGGGGGCGGTGTTGCTCCTCCTACAGCCGCAGCTGGGCTCTGCCTGGGTGGAACGTAACAGCTGCAGTTTCCCACGTGGCCACCGGGGGGAGCCCAGAGCACAAGTGCTGGGGGCTGTGAGGTGGGGG